GCTTGGAATCAGCGAAAACGTGGGCTGGCGGAGCAGCAAATCTACGCGCGGGAACGGCGGCAATGATCCCGGCGAAGTTGATGCGACGGGGTCCAGAACAGGCGCGCGCAGGCTGGCAATGGCGACTTTTGGGGCAGGGCCCAGGGCGACGCGCCGTCGGCCAGCAGACGCCTCGGGGGCAAAATCCGCCTCGCAGACCGAGCCGTCGTTAAACATATCGCCCGAACAAAAATAGATTTGGGTCGCCGCGTCCCAGGGTGGCTTCGCCCCCATGGGGGCGGTCGCGCCGCGGGCGGCATGGGCGCGAGACATCCTTCCGCCAGGGTGGCAGCGAGAGGCGAGCCCGGCGCCGCCTCCCAAGGGCGCTGTCTGAACGAAGGAGATTCCGCCAAGTCCTGCTAGCGTCGCTGCAGCAGCGCGCCGCGCTCAAACTCGCGCTCTACCAAGTGATCAGCGATTTTCTGTTGCTGCCGCGTTTCAGCAGCACGAGACAGCAGAACCTGCGCAGTAATCGGTCAGTAGTCGTTGGGGTCGGCGGCGGCGCCGCCCGGCCGCGCCCGCTGGAGTAGCTGGCGCGGCAGCAGTGCCCACTCGCCCGAGGGGGGCCCGCAGAGCACGGAAGGGGCCCTTGATGGGCCACGGGCGAGAAGCCGAGGGAAGATGGGCAGGCGTTTTGCCGAGGTCACAGTCCAGGACCTGCAAGGGCAACCAGAGCCCCGCGAGGGCATAGAGGCAGGACTTCACAGGCAGCCACGTGGCCTTATAGATGGTCGAACTGGGGCACAGGGGGGGGAGGGGGCAACGCGGCTAAGGTACGTAACCTGCCATCTTGATGATGGTCCCGCAAGTTTCTTGCAGCGCCTCTGAGAACCTCCCACTCCCGTCCGTTAGTTCCCATATCCGAGGGCCCGCGCGGAACGTGCGACCCTGGTGCGTTTTCAGCCAGTCGCCCAAGCGCGCGGTGACGAGGCCTCGAGCTTCTCAGGATCGACATGCGATGCCCCCGTGCTGGCGCGGCCTCTACGCGACCGGCCGCGGCGGCCATGCATCGGCCCCGAGATTGCGCTCGGATCTAACGGGCGCGAGGCGGGGGCCCTTGAGCTTCGATGTAATAGATGCTCGCGCAGAGGGCGTGTCCCCGAGCGCTCGGGATTTATCCCCGCGACCTTGTGGTCAACGGCCGCGTGCTCTTTGTGGAGCTTCTATTGCCGGCGGCGACGACGTCTTTCGCTGCGCCTCGGCGCGAGTGGCCAGAGTCGCCGGTGTTGACCGGGGGCTGGACAGCCAGGCAGGCGCCCCGCACGGCGTCGAGTGGGCTCAAAAACCAAGAGATGCAACGTGCAGCAGGCAAAATTATATTACTGGCACGACCTTTTGCCTAACATCCAACAGGGGCCCAACCTCGCCCGCAACGCCGATCAGCCCGGGGGAACGATGAGTCTGTGCCTGGAGATCAGTGAGGCGGCTGCGCTGCGCCAGCTCAAATTCTTCGAATCCAATAGAATAGTGGCGCAGCTGCGAATGTGTGCGAAGAGTGCTCGGACCGGGCGGATTTTTTCCATGCGCGCTTTCCCTTGGACTGCCCCGGGGTCGACCAGCAACCACCCCAAGAAATTATAGGACTGTCGAAGCCCAGTGGGGGTGCGCCTCAAGCGACGTTGCACGCGAGCCAGGGCGCGCAGGGGCCCCGGCGGCTTCGCACCTCCAAGCCGTTCAAAGATGAAGACAGCGCGATTCCACATGACGGGCCACTCGCGCTTCTGGTCAATATGCGAGGTGGCGCCGCAAAAGGGCCCCCGCGGCTAAAGAGGGCAGGAGCAACAACTATCGCGGAGAAGCTTGATCGAATCCCGCGCCAGCTTCTGGCTTGAAACTTTTAGGAGCGCTCAACAACTCAGCCAACGTCGGGCGCGCCGAGGTCGAGCCAACGACGAGGATGGTTCTCGGACCCGGCTGACCACAATTTCCCCCACTCGGCCCACTCGGCTTCGATGGCGCCGATTCGACTCGATCGAGGAGCAGAGCCGAGAGGCGGAGTGATCCAGGGGGCAGGCTGCCAGGGAACAGGAAGGGAGGGGATCTTGAACGGAGCCGACATGCCCCCCCGAGGAATGCTTGTCGACCCAGTTGTGCCAATCTCTGTCGTTGGCGTGCGCCGCCTGGGCCTGCGCGCGCTTGACCTCGACCTCGGCCGTGCAAGCGAGCGCCTGGGCCGAAAGCAGCGGCAAGACAACGCTTGCCGAAGCACCGCTGCCCAGGCTGCGCACTCTACGCTCCCAGGGAGAACGCGTGAACCTGAAAGGCGAAACGCCGCTGACACCAGCTGGCGCTTGTGGGGGCCCGCAGGATTTCGCGCAGAATCTGCAAGGGGGGTGCGAACCTTTCTCCTCCAACAGGCAATGGGGGATATCTTCGGAAACTTCAGAGGGCAGGGCAAGGAGGCTTATTGGAAATGTTCAAAGGCCTATCCCTGCCGATGTACTGCCCAGCTTCCCCCCCCCCAGAATCTGAAATATGCGAAGCCACTCGACGTCGGCAACACGAATGAAACAGCACCATTTTCCTCCTCCTCCTCCTCCTCCTCTTCCATGTGGTTTTCGACTGCAATCAACCCGCATAGTGGGGATGAGCCACTTTCCATCATGGCTACCTTGGCATCCCTGCCCCTTTCGGCCCATCCTTAGCGACTTTCGCTGACCAGCCTCGCTCGAAAAGCGCTAGCGTGTCCCTCCAAGGCCCTTGCATCATTACCGCGCATCCTTCTCATATGGGCTGAGATGGTGTCGGAGGATCGGCTTGCACCGTCGATGCATCTGCGATGCGGCGCGATGCGGATGTCCACGCCGGCATCGCTGATGCATCGCCGACGCATTGACGACGTCGCCGACGCATCGCCGGCGCACCGCTGGTGCATCCCCGATGCGCCGGCGAGTGCGGTGCGATCCCCCTCAGCTCTCTCGTGTCCAGCGGCTGGGGGGGGGAGGATCGAAATCGAGTGTGGGACCAAAGTCGACGTAGAACAATTTCCCGAGAGTGTGGGGGGGAGGTTGAGGGCCTGGCGGACCAGGAGACCCTCAGGACCCACGGGGCCCGTGGACCTTCTGCGAGCCCTCGGTCCTCGAGGCAGCCGCCCCGGATGGCCATTCCCCTCCCCTCTTCTGTTGTTTTTTCCAGTTGACCGTATGCTGTGACTCCTGGCCAAAAGGTGATTGAAGGAAGGCTGATTCGGATTTCGCCGCCCGGCTGGAGGAGTTGCCGGGAACAGGCCGAAGGACTCCAAGCAACCCGCTCGCCCAGGGGTCCCGCGGGGCGAGGGCAGGGCCCCGACGGAGGCCACGCGCACCAGACGGGCCCTGCTTTTGTTCGAGGCGCTCCGAGTGAGGGGCCACGCTGCTGGACCCAAATGCCCTCCGTTGCTGAAGTAGGCTCCTCCTGCTCCTCCTCCTCCTTCTCCTCCTCCTCCTGCTCCTCCTCCTCTCTCCTCCTCTCTCCTCCTCTCTCCTCCTCCTCCCTCCTCCCTCCTCCCTCCGCGCCGCCGCCCCCTTCGGAGCCGCCCCCCTCGCGGCGGAGTTGGCTGCTCGTTTGCGGGATGTCGGCTTCTCAGGCGGAGGCGCCCGAGCGCCTTTTTGGCATTTGTTTTTTGGGGGGGGCGGGGCGGGGGTAAGCGGGGTGGTCGTGTCGCGGCCCCTGGGGTGCTCGTCGCCGCACCATGGTGGAAATGTATACTCCTGCTCCTATCAAGTTTTCCCCAAGTTTCCTTATATCTCCCTCTTTGCCTCTACCCAGGACCGTTTCCCTTCCACCCCGTTATGAGCAGTCAACCTCCTCCTCCTCACGCTTCCTCACGCTTCCTCCTCCTCCTCCTCCTCCTCCTCCTCCTCTCTCCTCCTCCTCCTCCTCCTCCTCCTCCTCCTCCTCCTCCTCCTCCTCCTCCTCCTCCTCCCCCCCTCCATCCTGCCTGCCTTACTCCCTCCCACCTTCTCCATCCCTCCTGCCTCCCTCCTCTCCCTCCTCTCCCTCCTCTCCCTTCATTCCCTCCCTCCCTCCTCTCTTCACCCACCCTCTAGTGGGTGTAAGGCGATCTCGTGGCAAGCACTACCTCCTCCCCTCGCTCCTCCTGACTTCTTCCTCGCCCGTCATCCACAGTTGCTGACTACGAGTGCTACTCCCCGTTTTCTGTTGACTCAATGTGGAAGTTGTCCCGATCTAGCTGCGTATTGATTTCTACACGCAGCGTTTTGAGCATGTACATGTGCAATGTTCTATTTTAAACTCTGGTGGTCTTCTGTCAAAATGGTACTGCCGCTGGAGAGTGGGCCTCATTTTAGGATCGTCGCTTTGCTCCCGTCATTTAGACGGGCACTCTGCCCTCAGCGCGGCACCTTTTCTGGATCCAAGTCTTTCCTCATCGTTGTCGCCCTCTCCTTTCCCCTCCTCCGCCTTCCCCTGGTCCTCCTGCTCCTCCCGCTCCTTCCACTCCAACTCCTGCTGGTGCTGCTGCTGTTGCCGTTCGTCCTTGTCCTCGTCCTTCCTCATCCTCCTCCTTCTCCTCCTGCTCATCCTCCTGCTCATCCAGCATCTTCTTCTCCACTGTACGAAGCTGCCACTACCCGACTGCGCATAATACGGTGGTGTCCGTTTTGCCGCCATGACGCGCATCTGCGGATACAGTGGAGGCCAGTCCAAAAGAAATGTTCCACAAGAAATCCAACCCTGAGACCCCCCGACGTCCATTGATTCTCCGTTTGGGAACGTCACGCTTGCCATAGCAAAACCATCGAAACCTAAGAAGCCCAGGTCACCCTGGAGGCAATCAGGGTGTTTCTTGGCCTGGGCCCCCACTGTAGAGAAAACATCAGCGCAATTGCAAAGGATGGGTTGGAGGGGCAGGAGGTGGGATGTCAGATCTGGCGCGAGCGCACCTGGCTTGACGCTCCCCACTCTCCCCCCCTTTTTCTCCTCCGCCTTCCCCTGCTCCGTCCAGTTCTTCGCGATCGGCCATGGTCTGCTCCGCAGCCGCGGCTGGCCGCGACCTGGCAAGTGTGGCGGCAGCGGCAAGCGGCGGCAGCCGCAGCACGGGCACGCGCACCGACAGCAGACGACGCCGCAGCGTGCAGCGGGCGGCAGCAGGGAGCGGGTGCACGGCACGCAGCGCTCGACGCGCAGGCAGGCGGGCAGGCGGGCGGGCAGGCAGGCAGGCAGGCAGGAAGGCAGGAAGGCAGGCAGGCAGGCGGTGCGTGAGCCGGAGCAAGGGGGGGCTGCGAGGCCGCCGCGCCGCCGTGGCCGTTTTTCCAGGGCTGCGAGCCGCGGGGCCAGCAGCGGATCGCCCCAGTTCTGGAACGGCCGGCACAGCGACTCCGGGGGTGGCGGCGGAGAAGCGAGCACGGCTGGAGTCGGCCCTGGCTGGAGTCGGCCCCTGCGAGGAAACACGGATGCGGACGCCGGATGATGATGATGATGATGATGATGATGATGATGATGATGATGATGATGATGATGATGATGATGATGATGATGATGATGATGATGATGATGATGATGATGATGACGATGACGATGACGATGATGATGATGATGCTGATGCTGATGCTGATGCTGATGCTGATGCTGATGCTGATGCTGATGCTGATGCCGATGCCGATGCCGATGATGATGCTGATGCCGATGATGATGATGCTGATGCTGATGCTGATGCTGATGCTGATGCTGATGATGATGATGATGATGATGATGATGATGTTGATGATGATGATGATGTTGATGATGATGCTGATGCTGATGCTGATGCTGATGATGATGATGATGATGATTATGATGATAGTGATGATGGTGTTGATGGTGAGGATGGTCATGATGATGATGATGATGTTGATGATGATGATGCTGATGCTGATGCTGATGCTGATGCTGATGATGATGATGATGATGATGTTGTTGATGATGATGATGATGATGATGATGATGTTGATGATGATGCTGATGCTGATGCTGATGATGATGATGATGATGATGATTATGATGATAGTGATGATGGTGTTGATGGTGAGGATCATCATGATGATGATGATGTTGAGGTTGATGAGTCTTATGATGATGATGGGGAGGAGGATTGGGATGCTGTTGATGATGATAACGATGATGAGGATGATGAGGGTGAGGATGAGGATGAGGATCAGGATTAGGATGAGGACGGGGATGGTGATCATGAGGAAGAAGAAGAGGATGACGATGATGATGCTCATGCTGAGAGTGATGATGATGATAACGATGACGTTGTCCATGATGATGAGGATGAGGATGCTGTTGATGATGATGAGGAGGATGAGGATGATAATGATAATAAGGATGTTGGTGATCCAAGATGACGATGATGATGCTGATGCTGATGATGATGCTGATGCTGGTGCTGATGCTGATGCTGATGCTGATGCTGCTGATGAAACGGATGAGGTTGAAAATGAGGATGAGGATGAGGAGCAGGAGGAGGAGGAGAATGAGGAGCAGGAGGAGGAGGAGGAAGAGGAGGAGGAGAAGTAGGAGGAAGAGGAGGAGGATGATGAGGATGATGATGCTCATGATGAGAATGATGATGCTGCTGATGAGGAAGAGGATGAGGATGATATGGTGATGGTGGTGGTTGTGGTGGTGATGCTGACGATGGTGGTGATGATGGTGATGATGATGCTGATGCTGCTGAAAATGAATTTGGCGATGGTGATGGTTATGGTGATGGTGATGGTGCTGGTGATTATGATGGCGATGGTGAGAATCATGACGATGGTGGTTGTGCCGATGGTGATGATGATGGTGATGACGACAATGATGAGGATGGTGGTGGTGATGATGAACATGACGATGATGATGACGATGATGATGGTGATGACGATGATGATGCATGATGCTGATCATGCTGATGCTGATGAGGATGATGATGAGACTGACGACAACGATGATGGGGATGATGATGGTGATGATTGTGATGATGATGCTGTTGATGGTGCTGACTATCAGTATGGTGGTCGTGGTGATGATGATGATGATTGTGATGATGGTGGCGACGGTAAACAGAATTATGAGGATAATGACGATACCGATGATATGGTGGTGGCGGTGATGGTGATTGTGATGATGGTGACGATTGGTTGATTGATTGATTGGTTGATTTGACGATTGATTGATTGAGTGGTGGTGTTGACGCATATTATGGTAATGGTGGCAACCGTGCTGATGATTTCGCTGATGATGGGTGACCATGATCATGGCGATGGTGATGATGGTGATGCTGATGATGGTGATGATAATGGTGATAATGATGACGACTACGATGATTCCGATGATGCCGGCGGCAACGATGATGATCTTGATGTTGATGATGGTAGTGGTATTGTTGATGGTACTGATGATGTTGATGATGCTGGTATGTTGATGATGCTGATGATGAGGATGATGGTGGTGGTGATTATGATGATGATTATGATTATGAGTTATGTTAGGATGATG